AATTATAAATAAAATGTAAAACATGAAAAAGAAAATAAAGCATGAAAAAAATGCAACCCTGGCTGAAATGGATAGCAGCAGCTCCAGTTCTGACTTCCTTCCCGTGCCGTCCATTTCTCTTGCATCTACGGTGCCCTTCCAGAATAGTGTTCATGCTCCTGTGGCCTCCAGCCATATTTGGACTTAGCCCCATGTTCCCCAGCAAATCCAGCCACTAAGGAAAGTTCATTTATACCAGTGATTTTCAACCCGGACAACTTGAAGATGGGTGGACTTCAACTCCCAGAATTCCGTGCTGGCTGGGGAATTTTGGGAGTTGAAGTCCACCCATCTTCAAGTTGCCAAGCTTGAAAATCACTGATTTATACTGAAGAAACCCTCTGCGCTGACACGGTGCCCTCGCCCAGGCAGAGCAACTCTCAGTCCTGCGTCAGAGCCTCTCAGAAAGCCAAAACACCCCTCCGGCTGAGTGCTCCCGATGCAGCTCTGGATTATTTATTATTATTTAACTTATTAGCTGCCCACCTTCAATGGACTCTTGAGGGTTGTGGCTGTCAAGCAAGAAAGGTCTCAGAAATGCCCTCCCCCCATGCAGGGCTGAGAAAGTGGCTCTCCACTTGGGCATCTTCCCAGTCGTGGTACCTCTGGCCAACCAGGGTGGCGCTTGCTCTTGGCCCCCAATCCAAGGGACACTTTGGGACCCGCGCTCTGGTCTCCTGTCACTTTGGAGCGCGTGGCTGGAACAGGTGGCCGGGCAGCCGAAGGCCCGAACAGAAGGCTTGGGAGATGGCGAGGAGGGCAGTTCCGCGTGGCAGAGGCGGGTTGGAGATGATGCCACTGGGGTGGCAGTGGCTGTGGGTCACCACTCCATTTGCGATGGAGCAGATGAAAGGGTGGGCCTGTCCTGCCAGCGCTTGGGTGGTGTGGTCACACCTGCGGAACCAGAACTGGGAGGGTTTGAGTCATCCTGGGAGATCAGTCATCTCAGCGTTAAAAAAAAAGTGTGGGATGCTTTAGAAGGTTGCAACAGCATACCGAGAAGGAAGAGGAGGACTTTGGGGTTGTATGAAACAAATGCCAACCCGTTCCTCAGCCAACATCTGGCAGGACAGTAGTGGCTAGCAAATTTACGCCGGCGATCAGGAGATGTTCCGTTTCTTGGATCAGGACTTTGCTCCCTCCTGCCTGCTCCTGCACCCGGATCAGCCTACGATCCAGACCATGGTCCCATCGTGTCCTCCTTCCGAGCGTCCAGGTGACTGAGGCTCTCCTGGGTCCCAGGTGGAGGCTTCCCAAAACCGGCCCCTTGAAATCTCTTCCATTGTTGGAGGGTGGCAGCTGAACCAGGAAGCCCGCGTGCAGCGTTTGAGCCCCAGCCTCTCTCCTTCAGAAACGCCACTGGAGGCGTTCCTCGGAAGACCGTGCCTGCTGGCTCCAGCTTTCTGTCATGGCTTTATGGCTCCTGATTTCCTCCTTGCTTCTCTGTCCAGGTCAGGTCCTTCAACGAGGGGTGAGACCATGAATACCCACCCTCGGCGCATCCGCCTGAAGCCCTGGCTGGTGGCCCAGGTGAACAGCAGCCAATACCCCGGTCTGCGTTGGGTGGACGCTGAGCAGAAGCGTTTTTGCATCCCCTGGCGCCACGCCACTCGGCACGTCCCCTGCCAGGATGACGAGAACACCATCTTCAAGGTGAGGGGGCGGCGGTTTGCAGCAGAAGGAAAATAACGTCCCCCCCCCGATCTTTCCTGCTCCTACTGAGCAGATTCATGGGGGGGACGTGGGGGGCTGTAGTGAAAGGCTTCTCTTTTCCCATCATATCCTCCAAGTACGTAAGAGTTAGGACCGCCAACCCGCATCAAGGAAGTCTGGAGAAAATGAAACAGACCAGAAGAAAAACCAAACGACCTGCAAGAAAACATTTAACCGGTTAGATCAATCAACTCAAACTTAGATTGCTGACTAAAAAGGACAGAAAAAAGAATGGTTTTTAAACAACAGTCAGTCGCGAACATTCCCAAAGGCTGCTCGCTCTCACGCGAACAAGACGCATCGAGACACTCTTCCCTTTGCTGGCTGGGAATTATGGGTACTGTAGTCCAACCCCTTGAGAGGAAGATACCGTCAACATTAGCAGTTAACGCTTTCAAATCCTGTAGTTCGGATCATAAAGAGGTTTTTTGCAGATTAAATCAACGCGTTAACTCACCAGTTGACTGAAATCCAGTTAATTAACTACGGTATCATTAATTTGGCGATGTCCTCAGCATGCCAGAATTTTTTGTTTTTAAACCTCGGCCGCCCAACTGCACCTTCCCACCCTGACAGCGTCTCCGAATTATGCTGCGGTCCAAATTTGGAGACGGATCTGCTGTTCCCCCGAGCAGAATCAGTCAGGGATGGTCTGGAACCAGGCGTGGTTCCGGACTCTGGCAAAGCAGGCCCGTCAGGAACAAAACTTTGGCTCTAGAAAATGCCCAGAGGCATCTTCCGAGGCCGGATCGTCCTGAAGCGCAGCCGTGAAAGGAAAGCCGTGCAAGTTCTCGCCCTGGGAATGGGGTCCTCAGACGGCAGGAGCTGGAGATGTTTGGCCTCGAGGAAGGAGGGCGAAAGTGAGATTTGGGGAGTTGCCGGAAGTCAGGCAGTGCAAAAAATGTAATAAATAAAAAGAGAGAGGATGGCACTCATTCATATATCTATATATCTATATATTATATTGCCATCCTCTCTCTTTTTATTTATTACATTTATATATACATATATATAGTTTTAAAGAGAAGATAAAAACTCTAATGTAAAGAAAGAAAGGAAAAAGACAAAGGTGCAGGGAAAAAAGATAGGAAGAAATAGAAAGAAACAGCTTCTGATTTTCTCTGCAGCAAATACAGGTATGATTCCAAAGTTCTCTTTCACTCTGTGGCTGCAAAAAGAAAAGCTCCCTTTTTTCCTGCAATCTGGCTTTTTTCTAATCATCCCGAGGACGGCACTGTTCAAATGAGTGGCAAACTCTTCCGCAGAAGGAGGCCGGGACCGGCTCTCCCTCGTTCCTTGTTGCGGGAGAAAAACAGATTCACGAGAGGCAGATTCTGGCTCTGAGGAGAAACTGCCTGGCGCCCGAAGGAGTTTGGCAGGGGGACCGGTGACCCGGAGAGGTGGCGGTGGGGGGGGTCTCCTTAAGGAAAGGGATCCTCGGCATCCCTCCACCCGGGCTGCTCGCGCTGGTATTCTTGCACCGGCATCCTCCAGTGCCCTGGTTCCGTTTCCTTCCCACGGAAAGGGGATCGGCAGTTCTCAGCGGGCGAGAAGGGTCGCAAAACGCTTTTGGCACTTGCGCAATTTCGAAGGCGCTGAGGCGGTTTCAGCAGATGCTTCTGAAACTCCTCTCTGCACCTCATTTAATGCTTTCCTATGATTATGGACTTCGTGCATACCGGTTATTTTCAACGGGTCGGTCTGTGGTTCCTACCACCAGCCACCGACAGAAGCCCAACAGCTGGAAAAAGGGGCCTAGATACAGGGGTCTTTGCAGGGGGTGGTCAAAAGAGTCAAGATGGCAGCCACAACAGTGCGATCAAGAGTCTGTTTTCTGTGTGTGACACACACACCGGCTGAGTCTCCATCGTGCCATCGTGGGCGCCGTCTTTGCCTTTTTGACCCTGTGGACCCCCCTGCCTAGATGGCCGTCGGTAAAACAAGCGGTATCGGTTTCTTTCTTGCGCGGGCAGGCCTGGGCCAAAGAAACGGGCAAATACAACGAGGGCGTGGATGAGCCGGATCCGGCCAAGTGGAAGGCCAACCTGCGCTGCGCCCTCAACAAAAGCCGCGAGTTCAGCCTGATCTACGACGGGACCAAGGACACGCCGATGCAGCCCTACAAGATTTACGAGGTCTGCGATGCGCCCCAGTGCAACGGAGGTACCAGCTGGCCATGCCATTCCGCCCCGCTTTCCATGCTGCTTTGTCCCCCGACTGGTGAAGCCACCTGTGGGAACCCCTTGCCCCACCGCAGAGGCCCCCTCCACCCACTCCCCCAGGAGATGATGGTGGGTGTCTTGCTGGCAGAGGATCCGGCGTGGACCACGCTTGCTCGCTCGCTCGCTCGCTCGCTGTTTTTTGTTTGTCTCATTACGGTCTCTGCTCAGACAGGTTTGGCAGGTTCTGGGAGTGCTATAAAACCTGCAGATCCTGATGGGTTAAGGACGTACCGAGGGCATTCTTGTACCTCCTTTGGTTCGTCATAAAAAAAACAACAGATTTATCCGACCTCTCTGAAAAAGCATGGTTTTATCCCGACTGACTGCTTGGCCTCTCCCACACCCTCCAGCATTTCTCAAATGAAAGTAGAAAAATGTTTGCATCCAGAATCCCACCCAAATCTCACTCTTACGCTGCTTTCTACAGTGCAGTGTTCATTTCTTCATTCTCTGGATTTAGAGCCAAACAGCTTTTTGTCAGTGGGACGATTGGGTAATCCAGGAGGGGAAGGATCAGCCCGGCACTGTTGGCTACTTTAGGCTGATGCGGACACACTCTCCAGGCCCTGCACATTGCCCTTCTGGCCGGGGCAGCAGGCGAGTCCTGGCCTTTCCAGCCAAACCCCTGCCTTGGGTCAGCCAGGCTTTCAGGCTCAGAGACTTAGCTGGGAAAGAGTTGCCAGCTGTCCAGTGTGGGCGATGGGCAGAGCTGCAAGGTCAGCTGGCAGAGACAGGCAGTTTGGCCGTCTGTTATACGGGCTCCTTTTGAATACAGGTTTAGGGCTCTTTCTGAAAGAGCGCTAAACCCGTATTCAGAAGGAGCCTTACTTTCAGCTGTTATTTGGGCTCTTTTTAAAACCATCTTCAAAAGGGGAGTGAATAACCGCGGGTCATGGGGGGGGGCAATTTTTATCTCTATCTTTCTCTCTGTGCCATTTCACTGGATTCATTCTCACCATCCCCACGCAAAACACTTGCACGGAGTCAGGAGCGAGTTGTGACAGATGGCTGAGCCCAGATCAGTTAAAGGCCATCTGTTAAAACTCACCTCGTCGTCCACCCAATTCCTTGTTCAAGAGAGGGACTGGTGGATATTCTCTTGCTGGCTCGTGAAGTGGGAACTGGGGTGGGGGGGGAGGATGGGGAACTGTGGAGTCACCAGTCCTTTTCCTTAATGTCTGAATGGACCCCTCACTCAAGACGCAATGCATTTGCCACCCTTACAACCATTTAAAATTGTGGGAGGGAAAACACGGCTTTGAGGAACCCCCAGTAACCATCTGCTTTGGATCTTCAGAGAGCTTTGCTGGAGATGAGCCCGCCGGATGTGAAGAGGAGGAGGAGGTGAGATCTGGTGCCTCCCAGCGTTATTTGGAGGGGACGGGGGATTTCTTGTCCTCTGTGGGAAAAAAGCACAAGAGCATAGACTGATGTCTGTGAAACTTGCTGGTGGGATGTTCTGGGAGGATCTGTGCTGGGCTCACGAGAGAAGAGAATCCCCTTTATTTTTCTGCATCTTGATTCCTCTGTATTTAGCACTCTGCAAACCACAAAATTCTGTTTTCTGCACAGCTGTAGTTGAAACCACCTTCAAGCCACCAAGCTTAGAGTTTCCCTATGCTGCTGGGTCTAGTTCTAATCTTGGATCTGTTTTTTGGTTTATCGTTACATTTCTAAACTGGCAAACGGGTACAGCAGAATATAGAATGGAGGGGTCAGGCTCCCCACCCCCAAACTTCAGGTCTGGGCTCCCATTTGCAGCCAGGCCCACCCGATCCCTTCCTCTCTTACCCAGGTACACTGCCTTGTGCATGGATGCTCCAATCCATGGGTAAGGACTGGGGAGGACGCATAGCTGGCTTTGCTCTGCCTTCAGCCCCCCCTCTAGGTCAGGAGCATGGCTGGTTCAACATGGCACTTCCTCTTCAGTTTCCTGCCACTAATTTCACTTCTTTGATTGCAGCTCCAGAAGATGATGCCCACCCTGAGGATTGCAGGTGGGTGTTGAAAATGCCCAGAAGAGGAAGGTGGGACAAGGCTGGAGGGATAGACAGGGCACAGTTGTTCCAAATCCTTCCCGTTTGGAGTGGGCTGCAACTTCTCCCTGAAGAAGGATGCAAGGGTCCTCTCTCCCGTGTTCCCTACCGAAGAGCACACCTGAGATTTCCCCAGGCAAACCCATGGCATGTCAGTTGGGTTTAACTCTAGGAAGGTAGCTGAGCTGAGGGTTATAGCAAAAATATCGCGAAATTCACACGACAGGCTTAGCTGGCTACACTAAGCTGGAACGGAGTAATATGTGGGAAATTCATGGCCTGACCCGTTGCATGAATCAACAGGGCAATCCAGTGTTTCTCAACCTCGGCAAGTTTAAGACGTGTGGACTTCAACTCCCAGAATTCCCCAGCCAGCAAGGAATT